CAGAGCTCAGGGCCTGGTAGAGCAGACCAGCCAAGGGGGTGCTCCGTCTCCCGATCCTTCACTCACATTGCTTATCCCCCGGGGGTCAAGGGCAGGTCCTCGTCAGCACCTCGGTGACGCCTACCAGAGCCATCTGTACCAAGTGCCGTGGGCCCTCAGTGGGGCGCTGTTTAGCTCTCCACCAGGGGGATCCGAGCCTGACCTGTGGCTGCCTCTTCCAGGCAGCAGGCCAAGACTCCACCAGCAAGCCCATTCCTGCCCCTGCCTCAGCTGCGTGTCCCAGGCAGGTTCCTTGCCCTTTTTCGGGCCTCCATCAGCACCAAGGGGAGGCTGGAACTCATGGTCTCTCCAGATCAGGCTCCAGGTGAGCCGAGGCCTGGCTGTTATCTCGGGGCTGGGGGGCTCCACCCTGACCGCTGGTGGCTTCTCTGCAGATGTGAACGAGTGTGAGGCCCAGCGCTGCAGCCAGGAGTGCGCCAACATCTATGGCTCCTACCAGTGCTACTGCCGCCAGGGCTACCAGCTGGCCGAGGACGGGCACTCCTGCACTGGTACCTCTCCTCTGCCTGGGGCCCCTTCCCGAGAAGCACCGTGCCTTGCGTGCGGGCTCCTGGAGAGTCCCCACCTGGCCGGTGACACACGGGCCACACAGAACCTTAGCCTGAGGTCGGGGTTCGAGTCCCAGCCCTGCAATTTCCTGGCTGTGCCGCCTAGGGCACGTGCTTCCCAAGGCCGACTTCAGGCTCCCACTGCCACCCTTCCCCGGCCACAAAGTGGAGATGATGGTCCTGACCTCAGCCGGATGAAGGATGAAATTAAATACAGCTGATCCTTGAACGATGTGGGAGTTAGGGCCTCCCCGCCCTTGCAATCGAAAATACACGTATAACTTTACAGTCGCCCCTTTGTATCCGTGGTTCCAAGTCTGTGATTCAGCCAAGGGCGGGTGGCATAGATCTATAGAATTTTGGGGGAAAAATCAGCCCGGACGCAGACTGTGCAGCTCAAACCTGTGTTGTTCAAGGGTCAGCTGTACTATGTCCAGCTCCTGTCTGGTAC